GATATTGTATTTATTGTTTTTTAATTGGTTATTTCTCATGCCACGTATGCACCGTTAACGTTTTAGCATTGGAGATGCTCTAAGATTCCAACCGGTAGATTAGTCCTAAACTAATGGCAACATATAAGTTCTAATCTAAGTTGAATACGTACTAATAATGTATCGGAAGAATAATTAAGGTATTAAATTAGAAAGAGCAAAAAGAATATAATAATTAATGTTTGCTTAGAATTGAAGGTGACACATGGCAAAACTTTCCATAATTGTATCTTTCAAATGTATTATCTATAGATAGATAGATTGGTGTCATATGAAAGATAATAAAAAATAATGAATTTGATATATTTTTTATAAAAATTTAATTACAAATGAAAAAGTAATATCAATTTAAAAAATAGAGAGTTTTTTTATTGGAGTCCCATGAAGTGATACCTACTTGACGTAGAATTCTACTACTACGTAGTAATTAGAGTTTTTTTTTTTTTTTGAAAATAGTAATTAGAGTTCTAATCTCACTTAACTCCTAAAGCAATGCACCGTAACCATTAATATATACTAAATTATAATTATAATATATACTAAATTAGAAAGAGAATTATAATTATAATATATACTAAATTAGAAAGAGAATCTAGCATATTATAATAAATGATTATTTAGAAGATGACACATGGCAAAAACTTTCCATAATTGTATCTCTCAAATGTATTATCTATAGATTAATACTTTTAAAATTGTTAATTGACATCATTAAGTTATTAGTACTTTTAAAATTGTTACTTTTTCAATTTAGATTAACAATATACGTAATATATTATTAGGTTTTAAGGCTGTCAATTTTTTAGTTTTTGCACTATAATACATTACTAAAACATGCTCTAAAGATGTTTCTTTTAAATGAAATGTGTTTAGTTAACAAATACTTTTATACGTTGACTGTTTTATTCATTAATAACTTGTACTCATATAAATTATAATGTTTTTACTTAAACCTTTTTCAGTTTCAAACCAAATCAGACCAAACAAGGTCATATCAGACTTGAATTGTTATAAAATACACAAAGACCAGACGTTTTTCAAATCAAACCGAATTAAACAGCTCCGACCAAGTCAGGCTAGAGAAAAGAATTTCAATCTAAAAGGAAACATTCGTAATAGTAAATTATTACTAATATAATTAATGCTAATTTAAATGCATATTATATATGTGTTTGTATTAGAAAAAAACCCATATTTTGTTATTGCACGGGACCTCCATTTTCTCGGGACCGGCCATGTGAGCATCATCATCCATATCCATATTTCCTTTGGAGAAGTTAATTTTATTCCATTATGACATGACAATGCATTTATAAAGGGAAAGTTCCCGAAATAGGACTAAAACAGTTTGAAAATTCCAAAATAGGACTGTCATGTTTTTTATTCCCAAAATAGGGGCAATTACTGCCAAGTTTGGAATATACTGCCATGTTTGAAGTCTGGTACTGCCAAAACATGGCAGTAATTAGTCCTATTTTGGGAATAAAAACATGTCAGTGCTATTTTGGAAATTTGAAACCTTTTTAGTCCTATTTCGGGTAATATCCCATTTATAAACTTGGTAGGCGCACCAATTTCTGCAGACTATTGGACAAACTAGTATTCCACCCGTGCGTTGTACGGGATGTAATATACATCTATTTTAAAGCATTTACAAAGTTTATCATAACTTCTCGTACGAATGAGAGAAATCGTATATATAGTGATGACTATTAGAACTTAAATAAGCACAAAATTACAAATTGTTGAAGACTTTGTGAACACGTTTTTGTTGTTTTTCATTTTTTCGTCGCATACCACGAACTTTTTATCAAATAGATTGTCACCCTTGAACCAGCAACATACAATTGTGCATGCGTAAAAAGAGGACGACGTGAAAATTCCTAAAGGTTTCCCCCAATTGCCACCTTTTTGAAATATTGTTTTGACACCTTTTGAAACTATACTATTTTGTATATTTAACATTGAACATATATAAAATGTACTCCGTATATGTTATAAGTGGACTATTACAACTTTTTAAGAATGGAGGGAGCATTGATTAAACTCTTCAAAACTAACCTTCCCCTTTGGGTATATATTAAGCCAATTAACTAACTAAGAACTTCTAATAAGTTAATAAGTCAATTAATCAATTAAGTTGACTAATATCTTTCATATATGCATCAGATAGCTTTTTTTTGTCATGAACAAAAATCAGCATAGGTTATGAGATCTAATGCGTCTATAAAAGTTTTTAGACAACTACCCTCAAATTAAATAAATAATGAATAATTAGTAACAACGAAACCTCTACGTTATGTCACCTTTGAAAGTCTTATTTTACTTCGTAACTAAAAGTCTTATTTTACTTCGTAACCAAATGTGCAAATAATCTTGGCCTATAATAACAATAAAATATTGGGTATGTATGTATTAATGTATATATGTATGTGTGTGTTTGAGTGTTTGTGTGCGTGAATTATGTAATATTATTAGTGTTTGATCTAAATTTGAACGCTCACTAATATGTTGAGTTAGTTAATCTATTTATGGTTATTTAGAATTAGATTTCTTTTGGGAGTGTAAAGATAAGTTAAGTATTCTCAAAAGGAAATTTTAAGTAAAACTTTTTCAATTTATTAAGATGTTGTATATAAGTACAATTGGATGTACAAACATAATCCTAAAAAAAAAAACTCCCTAGTTAGTTAGTTCCAAATATCATCCTTATAATTTTTATCGCAAAAATTAGGAAAGGAAGTAAATTAGCAATAGAAGTATATATGTGAGTAATATGCGTTTCCCTTTTTAGTGGGTGCTTACAATAAATGATGAAATAAGTCATTAGTATTTGATTATCAATGACATCCCAAAATAGTTTACTTTATACTAACTAAAAAATGGAATAAAATAAAAATAAAGTAACTGTGTACTACAATTAGGGGTGAAGTTTGTGTTTTAGATGCGAAGTTTGTGTGAAAGATTTTGGTGACAATTCTTAATGCTGATAAAAAAGGAAAAGAACGGATAAGATTGTCACGAATCTAGTTTAGAATCACACCTGGAGCCAATAAGCAAATTAGAAGAAGAATGGCTTCGAACAGCGAAGAAGAAGAGTTGTTGTTGAGAGACGATGATGAAGACTATAGAGAATATGGATGAGTCTGCCAGTGAAATGGAGTGAAAGGCGGTCTGAGGTGAGTGAGAGAAGATGACGGAGAAAGGCAATGAAACGATGAAAGGTGTTATCTCAGAGCCGTGGATCTATTTTTTGGATCGTACGATTGAAGTGGATTCGCACTGGAGCGGGAAAAAATTGTTCTGCTTTTATGTATTAGATTAGATTAGATTAGATTAGATTTGTCCTCTTAATATTGAACTCGCTCGCTTCTAGTACATAGCTCACCGAACTCGATGCTAGAAGATTGTACAAAAAACTCCTTTTATTGCTTTTAAATTAAAATACTCAGTTGGTCTTTACATTTCTTTAAGTTTTGTTTAACACTCTATATAAAATAAAAAACGTAATTTTAGCAATTAAAAAACTGTTTTATCAAAAATCTGTTGGTCTTTACACTAAGTTTTTTAAAGTGTTCTAGCTTTTTTATTTGTTTTTAGTTTGTTATAAAAATATATTAAAATTTACAATTTTTATCATCTGACATCAATATTACATACAAAGCAAAAATAATAATTCATCACACTAATTTTTTTTAAATTGTGCCTCTTCTGTCTCAATATTATTTCCTGTTTTGACTTTGCACACAGATTAAGGATATGAGATTGGGAAATGTGAAGCTTAAAGTTATGTTGAATAGATAGAAAGTGGGGGGAAACGGTGTGAGCAACAAATTCTTTACTAACAAAGAAAGATGCGTTTATTTTGGAACGAACGAAAAGGAAAAAAATGAAGATAATATTGGGATGGATGGAGTATAACTTTTTTATTTGAACTCATGTTGTTACACAAAATATGTATAAAAAATTATAAAGTTAATATGACACTAATATGGATTATATGACATGAACATTACCTATATAAAAGTATGAAATTAATTCTATTAGTTTGTGCAATTTAGAGTCGTTTACTATTATGCACACTATTTATATGCGTATGCACACTATTTATCTGCGTGATGACTTAGAATTTGTATCATTTCATTCTAGCTAAAGTTTCAGATTAATAGTATTTATTTGTTTATTTTTTATATTTTGAACATTGATGTCATATAAAAGATAATAAAAAGTTATGAATTTAGATATATTTTTTATGTGTAATTTAGAATCGTATTTTATTGTGCACAAAAAATTACACAAATTCAGTCAAAAAACTAATTTTAACCTTGTTAATTTATTATTTATGATTATTAAAAAGAAATTATACATTTAAAGTACATCCGTTTCATATAATATATAGGTATAAAAAGTTACAACTTATCATAAAATATATAGTAATAATTTGCCACATGGACGGATGTGATTTTACAAAATTAAAATTGTTAATGGGTAGGTTCTGAAGCTCCAAAATTCTACTACCAAATGTGGCAATTAATTTCAATCAAAATTGAAAAAAAGTTAAGAGCCCGTTTGGTAGCACCAAAATCGGCTGTTTTGGCTGATTCTGCTGAAATTTATGATATTCTGGCTGGAGTGGCTGTTTTGGCTGATTCTGCTGATTTACGAAAAAAATATTTTAAAAAAATATTTTATTAATAAATTAAAGAAAAAATTATATGTAAAAATAGCTAAAATGGTCCTCTACAGTAACTTCAGCCAATACAGTCAGAAAAGTAACTCCAACCTTACTTTTTCGGCTTATTACACAATTCAGCGCGCGAAAGTAAAAGTTACGTGTTTGGTGAAAAAGCTGGCTGATAAGCCTGATAAGCCGAAAACAGAGTTCTCCAAACGGGCTCTAAATTTGTCTATCCAAGTAATAGGGAGTATAGCCGGTGCGCGGATAACACCCAAATCGTCTGAAAAAAACTCAGCTCCTACCAGTTCATAAGCCAGTCTTGTTTACCAATGAATTGGTTGTTTCGAGGTTAATGATTCCAGCCTAGAAACCCCACCAACATCGGCGCTCAATCCCCACGGCTGGTCCATACACATCAACTACCAATCTCCACATTTATAGTTTGCTGGATCCACCAGTCCCCTCTAAAGCTGCGGTTGTTCGACTCTCGTCTTCCTCCCCTGTTCTTCAATCATCCATCAATCCATCTTTATCTTCCTCCAACACCCACTTCGCAAATTCTCACCCTTTACTCTGCAACTAACAATATACTCTTCTCCTGGTAAGAGGCAGCTAGTAGAAGAAGAAGAAGAAGAAGCATTTCCGCAGCCCTCTTTTTCGCAAATTGGAAGCAGCTGTGTGTTTCCTGAGATGGGTTGCTCAGCTTCTCGCTCCGGGGAGCATGACTTTATCCAGCCGCAGAAGCCACCGATTTCGGGTTCCCATTCCGACCCCCTTTCTGCTCCGGTCTCGCGGTCGCTCTCTCTCCCCACCCGCCTGGTTCACCACCCGGCCGTCAGAAAAGGGGACAGCAACCATTTGGTGGTACTCACCTCTTCCACATATGGATCGCTTCTGCTAATTGACCGCCCGGAAATCCCAAACCCTAACCCTAATCTCAGTAGTACCCAGATAGAACCCGACCCGGTTTCTCCTGACTCAGTCGTCAACACGTGGGAGCTCATGGAAGGCCTGGATGAAGACGAATTCGATTTCCATGTAGTCGACGCCCCGAAAGTTCCCAGTTCTGAGAGTGAGAAAGTGGCTGTTGAGTTGAATGAGATGGTGAAATCGTATGAGTTCGTGGAGCACACCGATTCATTGCTGCCCGATGACAGGATTGTGGTGTATTATACTAGCTTACGAGGGATTAGGAAGACTTTTGAAGATTGCTGTGATGTTCGGATGATCTTAAGGGGATTTCGGGTGTCTGTGGATGAAAAAGATGTATCTATGGATTCATCATACAGGAAAGAGTTGCAGGGTGTGATGGGTGGGGAAGGAAAAGATTTGAGCTTGCCGCAGGTATTTATTAGGGGAAGACACATTGGCGGTGCGAATGAGATTAAGCAACTAAATGAGGCTGGGGAGCTGGGTGAGCTTATGAAGGGGTTGCCTTTGAAGCAAGAGGGGGTTTTGTTTTGTGGGAGTTGTGGGGATGCAAGATTTGTGCCATGCCCGAGTTGCAATGGGAGTCGGAAAGTGTTCAAGAATGAAGAAAGCAGGTTGAGGAGGTGCCAAAATTGTAATGAAAATGGACTGGTTAGGTGCCCTGTGTGCCTCCCTTAGGGTCTGTCTGGATGGAGGGTCTTGTGGTAAGGTTTTAGGGCTTACATATTGTGTAATGATATATAGATTATAGAGTTCTTATGAAATTGCTAATGTAGTCTACTAAACGTATACATGTTGTCATTGTTATTTTTGTAATTCTACTCGCTTGCAGATCATGTCTTTGTTAGTAATATATTTACTAACTTTAAGAATATTTTCGTGCAGTCATCAGCTTTTCTGGTGGGCTATTTATTGGCATTATGATGAAAAAATCTTTAATTTCGTCAAACATATTAGTTATCGGACATGATTTCCATCTAATTAAGTTGCAAAACTAATAAGCACACAAACATTTGTGTTTGGTTATTGGATTAAACTATCAAATTGCTCATAGTATCTATGTATATTAAAATGTATGTAATGTGATTAAAATATTGTATGCTATTTTGGCATGTTGCATTGATTTTTCAGTTTACATAATCTAAAATATGTATAATGATGACTATGTTCTTGTAAACTTTCCTCTATAAATCTGTACATCCAAACAGACCATTAGAACTTCTTGGTAAGTGAGTGGTTTCTTTGCTTTGTTGCAAAATTCGTTCTCTGAATCAGTCTATTAAATAAGCCAAAAATACAGTAATGTTGTTGTTCCATATCTGTTTACCTTTCTATTTTAGTGCTTTCTTCCTAACCTGCACTATTGGGAATCAGATATAAAAGACAAAAAAGTCAGTACCCAAGTGCTTGTGGGAAAGAAAGCTTTTGGGATGCTCAGTTTTGCCTTTTCTTTTTCAGGCAATGTTGCAATAATGGCTGGCAAACAACTGGTCGCAGTTTGTAATATGTCGTTGCATAAGAAGCCCAGCTATGAACATTTCAGCAACGCTTTGGTAGGATCAAGAGCCTGTTTGGACGTTTGGACTTTGGTACCCAAAATAGCTTTTCAAACGGCGACACGGTTCCGGTCGGTGATTCGATTTTTGCATAAAACTGCACATAAGACGCAGCCAGTCCTGGCTGTACTAGATTCACGCCTGGTTATATCGCGATCTACTTTTAAATCTTCCATTTTTTGATCTGCATCCAGTTTGGGCTCCCCATCCCTTTGTTTTAAAATGTGCAGAACTGGACTAGAGTTGATATCGATCTCTCATATATCAATTGTGGTGACGGACACTGGTCGGCGTGGCAGCTTAAGCAAGTCAAGTATTACATATATTTAGGATACCTTGGCCTGTTATCCATCCTTGTGTTTTAATAAAATAAACTTGAAAGCACTTGTCTTTTGTTGAAGTGGTAACAATAATTATTACTAGATGTGTATTATGTGTAATTGTCATGTATGTACCAGAAATAAAATGTATAAATTTGAAAATTAGATTCGGAAAGATAATAATTTATAAAATGTATTGGTGGAAATCTACGATAATGTGTGAATTAGTAATTGTAAACATTCATTAAGGTGATGATGTGTGTTTTTTCAAATGTGGAACTCTAACCTCTTATTTAACATATCAATAAATTATTATACACAATGAATTCTCAATTAAGACACTATTTATTATTTATAAATAGTTACTTGGTGATTAAAGGAGTGTTTGGGTTTGCTTAAAAAAAGCGCTTTTCAGCTTTTGGCTTAAAAAAAGTTGAAAAGAGTGTTTTCAAATGACAGCTTCTGCTTAAATTAATCACTTAAAAGCTAAAAGTTGGAAGCAGGTAGAAGAGTGCTTTAAACTGCTTCTCACTTTTTCTATTACACAAAAAGTACTTATTTTACCAAACACTATCAACTTTTACTTTTTCAGAATCACTTTTTTCTCAAACACTACCAACTTTTACTATTAATCACTTTTCCCAAAATCACTTTAAAAAATCACTTTTTTAAAGTTGAAGCAATTGCAAACACTCCCTAAAATATTCTCTCGTAACCTTCGACTCAAAAGGTGGTTTGTTCCTACGGAATTTCCTTGGTTTTCATTCCAATTGTTTTGTTCAGGTTTTATTGTTAATAATTGATTCAGTCGGGATTGGTTTGTGTTGCATGTTGTTTGATCACTTTCACAAGGTCCCGGGGGTTGAGCAAAAGGATTGCTAGGGTTATTGCCTTTGTGTAAGTCTTGAGAAGGCAACCGCCTAGTGTGATTGTGTAGTTTCGATCGGTGTTCCTTCAACACGGCCAGATAGCAAGCATGACTGGGCACTTTCGATGGAGCTGGTTTTGCGGGCGGAAAGAAGTAACGAGGAGGTGGCATCGACGAGCGTAGGACAGATGGAAAAGTGGATCAGGCAGTGTGACGGCATGGAAATCGGGACTGAGGATGATGAACGGGTACTCGATGAGGAGGTCGTTGCGGACCGGATGAAGCAGACTCTTCCGGTGGCTCGTCCCTTCCTGAACCACCACCATGGCGTACAAGAGAGTATAGGATTTGGAATAAGATGAGTAAACTCTGTTTCAATTTGGTTTTATTTTGTTTGTGTTTTCATTTTGAACTGCATGTTCTAGGTGTGTTTTTATTTCTTAGCAGAATAACTCTAGAAGTTAAATCAAGTGATGAGAAGTCTAGTTTGTCTGTCATTGGCTCAGTTAAGTCCATTATAGGTTGTTTCTACGGAGGTGATAATTTCTAAGTCTGATTCGATGACAAAAGGTATATGGGAATCTTTTTGTTGTTTTGAAACTTACTTAAGTTCTACTCTGTATTATTTTAAAATAAGCCATAGTCTTCCAAAATTAATACTCCCTCCGTCCCCGAAAGAAATTCTCGTTCGGTATACGATGCTTGACTGACGATAAAGCAACTCGATCTTTGTTCACACTTGGATTATTTTTAGTAAATAAAATTTACATATTCAGAAACTACATTAAAACCGTTACAAAGCCCGATCAAGAAAATTTAAGTTTGATGAAAAATTGAAATATAAAGTAAAGGATTAGGAGTGATTCAAGTTGATCAATAAATAGTGGCTTAGAAATTCTTTCAGGAACGGAGTGGATATCCGACCCGAAAAACCCCAAACCGAAAATCCGATTGGTATTGGGCCTAGACCGGGTGGCGGGTAGGATTTATGAAATCCCAACCCGACCCGCCCGAATATCCGAAATATAGGTTAGTGTGTACTTTGAATATTTAAATTAATTCTTGTGTTCAATTATTTGTGTAATTATTTGTGCAATTTGTATTAAATTATTTGTGTAAATTGAATGTGTAGTGCACTAATGTGTACAATTTTTGTCAAAGTGGTATTCCAACACTTTAATTATCCAATTATAATGTGTTTTAATATAACCGAAATATCCGAAATATATTAAATTATGTAGTGTACTTTGAATATGTTAAATTAGTACTTGTGTTCAATTATTTGTGTAATTATTTGTGCAATTTTTGTTAAATTATTTGTGTAATTTTGAAGTTTAGTGCACTAGTGTGTACAATTTTTGTCAAAGTGGCATTTAAACACTTTAATTATCCAATTATAATTCTTTTTAGTATAACCGAAATATCCTAAATCCGACCCGATATCCGATAATATCCGACTTAAAAATATCCGAAATACTCGATTTGAAATATCAAAGGTTCGGGCCTAGTATTTAAATTAAAAAACCCGAACGGGTTTAGGGTTCACAAACCCGACCTGCCCGAACCGGCGAACCCGACCCGTGCATAGCCCTAAACATGACCCTAGTTAGCTTTTTTCCGTTTTAAACGCGTTTTAAACACGTACCGTTTTTTTGACCAAAAAAACACGTTTAAAAAGGGGGGAAATGTCGGTCCGTTTAAAAAGGGAAAAAACTCCTACTTCCCGTATAAAACGTATTTTTCCCGTATTTTACAAAAAAACATAAACATGAATTGACCAATTGAATGAGCGCACTAAATGCATAGAAGATCAACAATAGTGTAAAAGTAAAAATGAAAACGTCCTCCCCATGATCTCGTGTTTTTGTATTGTTACAGTGCAATTATTAAATACTAAAATTAATTGCATGATGGCTAAAGCTAGCATCCTGAAATACTAAAACTTACGTAGTAATATACTACAAGATATCTGATGTTTTTTCAAGCTAGCATATCAAAATTAAGATTTTTCTAAACCTACCGTTTTTTTAGCATAAACTTTTACACAAACAATAATAAGTGTAGCAATCACACAACTTTTGTCATATGTCATCTGTCATCTTAATGAAAATGATGAGTTTAACTTGAGTGTTATTTGATAATCATATAAAGATAATGATTTTTTGACATTATTTTTCAAAATTATGTCTTGGACTTAATTACTGTTTTTATTTTTGTCTTCGACTTATGCAATTACGAACTATTCTTGTATGTAGTAATGAGATTTGCTACTTGAATATGTGTATACTTTTATTTCTTTTTTACTTTATATGTTATTTTATGAAATATATCATTTAAATGTTCAAAATAATACCCGTATTTTTCGTCCGAATTTTTGTAATAGACAACGTATTATACATGTATACTTTACACGTTTTCTAAAAGTCAACGTTTTTTTCAACGAATTTTTGACTGTTTTTTTCATTCATATTATCGAATAAAACGGTACGTATTAAACCTCGTTTAATTCCCGTACCGTATTAACTAACTAGGAACATGACTACATGAGTATTTGACTATTTGCCCCTAAAATAGTTAATGAATTAGTTTGTGGGTCGTGAGTCGTGACCCATGTGAAATGCAACGCTTAACTAAACTCCGTATTATTTTTAAAATTAATTATTTAATTATTGTTGAAAATCCGACCAAACGCACCTGCGTTTCCAACACACTTCGGAGTAATCTATAGCATTCAAAACCTACTTCTCCGGCGGAGGGCAATCCACAGTCGTTAGGGAGTTGACTGGTCTGAAATGGCAAGTTCCGGCGGGGGCGGGTCGGAGGAGTTCTCAGTGCTGGTATTAGCATCAGACTTGGGTATAGACGCCCGACCTTTTTTATCTCAATCGGAGCAAGAAGCCGGAGAAGAGAACTGGCATGACTGCGCATCCGACGCACAGGAAGACTTCTCCGACCTCGATGTCCTCCAATTTTTCCGCCTCGAGCGGGGATCGGATGTTGCTGGTAATCGTATCTTCCGGATCGTCGGCAAGTACTTTCCTGGTACCTCCCTCGAGCCTTCACACCAATCATTTAATTTCCTTTTGTCGTTTTGTAAACTATATCGGATTGGATTATTGAAAAATAATTAATGATGGTATTTGCTTGAAGTGGTTTCTTTCGAGATCAAGCAGTCTGGACCGTCTGGTTGATTCATGATTGCTTACAGTAGTATGGTTCTGGACTTCATTATAATATCTGTATGACTGGTTCACAAATAGCAATTTTGGAATTACATAATCATCTTTGGATACTTGAATTCTATTGTATGACCTGGATACCGGTTGTGTGTTTAGATTCTTCAACTCAATAATACTTGATATATTCTAAGCCATTATTTATGCAAATTAAATTAACACTTCTATCATACTCCTCTTTTCAACTCCTCTAGAAAATCTGATAGCTTCCATCTCTTGGATGACAAATAATGAAAATCTAAGAGCTTGTAGCTCTGATGGCTTGAGCCATACCATAAATAGATGGCATAATCGATGCCTGGTTGCAAAATGCTACTTGCTAGCCTTTATATCTATAAGTTCGTCTCTTTATTCTAGTGCTGCTCTCTAATGAGACAGAATGTGTGCAGCTCTTGTAATTAGTGCAGAGCGGCTGAGAAGGTATGTTCTCCAGAAAATTCTCAAAGAGGTGCCAGAAGGGCCTTTCTGTATCGTGTACATGCATAGTGCCGTGAAAAAGGAAGACAACAATCCCGGCATGACTATATTGAGGTGGATTTATGAAGATCTCCCTTCTGAGCATAAGAGTCGGCTTCAGGTTCTTTACTTTATTCATCCTGGGATCCGATCACGGCTAGTTATTGCTACGCTTGGCAGGTTCTTCCTAAGTGGAGGGTGAGATTCTTGTCTAAATTGTGTGCAATTCTAGAACTTTATTAGTAGCCAGGCTTGCTTTTGTTGGACATCTGTGAAACATGAGTCTCTCTACTTTTACAAAACTAAAAACAAAAAGCAAATTTACAAATTACACAAATACCGGCTTGCAAGTTAAACCTCAATGGCTCCAAGTACATGCAAGTCTCCTCTCTTTGAGTTAATTTGTGGTCAGAATATAAGATGTTTTTACTTGGACCGGTCTCAGTCTTAGACCACAACATACCAAACTAGACTTAAACAAAACAGACTAGACCAGATCAGTCCAGAATAGAAAATTCCAATCCCATTAAAAATATGTTTAATTGCATGGATTTCAATAATATGGAGTAACCATGAGCGGAGATTTGAAGACTGGATTGAGGGCTTAGAGATCTCTAGGGCGGGGTTTACTTGTGTTAATTTGGGTTGGACCTTTTCTTCTTCTTTTTTTATTTATCTGTTTTTGCCTACTTTTATTTCAATCTTTTCCCTTCCTCCTCTTTGTACTTTCTTTTGCTTATTATCAATAAACTTTCCTTTCCTAAAAAATAAAAATAAAATAAAATAAAATAATATGGAGTAGCATGTTTGGGATGACCGGGTATTCACTCAATTCCTAGAATCACTCAAACCTCATGCATTGGATGTTAATGATGCCTCCCATTTCATGAATCCACAAATTCAGATATTCCTTGATTGGGAAAAGGAACAAATATACGTTTGAACTTTATTTGTGAGAACAAATATACCCTTCAACTTCATTTGGAACATTTAAATGCCTTTTTTAATTTGGAACAAATATAAGGGTATCTTTGTTCCCTTAGAGAACTATAGACCCCTTAGCTACATATAAGTATATAACAGAACATATATACCCCTTAACCATTTGGACATGAGAGTATATTTGTTCCAACTTTACACGTTTTGTGTTTAACTGTTCCAAATGAAATTTGAGGGGTATATTTTTCTCTAACATATAGTTCAATGGTATGTTTGTACGTTCTCCCTTTCTTGATTCCTGGTATTTTGAATCCAACTGTACACTGACTATGCTATTTGTTGGGATTTTGGAGCACCGGGAAGGGAGGGGCAATATTTATTTTGGAAAGACAAATTATATAAAAGTTCATGATCTAAGAAACACATGCACTATGTCCCTAAAATAGCTTCACAATTGCCTGACATAGAATTATCTTCATATTCTCTTTCTTTATAAATTTCCTCCCTATACACCCTTGTGGTGGGTCCAATCCCTCGCCTTCCAGGGACACCAACGCGCACCGGGGTTCCCTTTTTAATAAATTTCAAAAGCAAATGAGAAGCTATTTGAGGAGCCAAAGAGTAATTATTTTAGTCTGACAAAATAGAGAAGAGTAGTAAAACAAAAACCAATCATCCCCTGAACCAAACAAGCCCTTAATGTTTAGAAGCGGTTATGCTTTGATAGAAACTATAGGTCCCTATCATGCTTGTCTGTTTCTACATTCTTAATGTTCTTATTGTTGTCTTTGTGCTTGTTTATGTGTAGCCTATATTGGAAAATTAAGTATGTTAACCGGCTTCAGTATCTTTGGGAAGACATAAAGAAAGGAGAGATTGAAATTCCTGATTTTGTGCAAAACCACGATGATGTTCTGGAGCACAGGCCATTGACAGATTACGGGATTGAACCGGACCCATTGCATTTGAATGAGATGCCTGCTACTGCCTACTCCTTGGGGAGGTTTGACTCTAGGTGGGCATATAGAGAGGCCATGTCGTGAGATATCAGCTATAAGTTCCGACAACATAACTTGTTTGTTAATTAGTATAAAAGCGTGGCAATGCTTGATGTGCTTGTTAGGTTTGCCAATACATCAATAACCAGAAATATGTATCACCTAATGATAATATCATGGTGCTTGTTCGGTTTGAATAATGTGTTTTGGTTCTTGTAAATTAGGGATGGACTTGCCTTCCGGTTCTTAACAGGTATAGGTGTGTGAGTACTCGACCAGGCTATTATGTGCATGTTTGGTAGGCATTTGTCGCTAATTTTTAGCTTTTTTACGACTTAAAAATTCGTTGTATGTTTGATACGTAGTACAACATTTTAAGGGATACCATGGGCGGATCTTGATAGCTGAAACGATTAAATTGATTGAATTTGTTGAAATATTGGAATATATATATTTAAAATATACTCCGTATATTTTTTTTTAGAAAAATCAATAATTTTTTTTAAAAAAATAGGTAAAATAATCATATGTAGTAACTTTAACCAATTCAATCACAAAAATAATTAATAAGATTGATCAGCCGAAAAATAGGATTGAACCTTTAAGCATGTTAGGTTTATTCTATTCCTTCGTCCCTTAAAATCATACTACGTACAATTTTTATTTTATTATTCTCCGTACCGGTCAAACTTAATAAAGTTTTAAGCGATTAAGGTATTAGAAAAAATTCACATAAATAATCTGAACCATCAGTGATCTTCTCATATTAATCATTTAATCCCAATTATCAGTAATTCCAGTATAATCTGAATTATTGTGGGTACCTTCTCAAAATAAACTGGTGACCTACATAAACCAATTGAGCAGGTCACCCGGACACGTGTTCTATTGTTATTGGCTTACATTTTATTCTATTTTTCCTTTTTCTTTTTTGCCTCTTTTTCATCTTTTTCTCACTGAGGTTTGGGCGGGCATGCGAGCTTTTCAGGCGAAACGCCGGCCGATCCTTGTTCAACCATCGCCAATAAGGCCAGTCACTGGATGTATATCTTTGATGACCGACCGTTCGTTGCAGTGGTTCTTCGATGCCGGCTGTCCGTTCATCCGTCCGTCTTTATGGTCGATGCACCGTCAATCCCTGCTGTTCTCCAATGCCGTCCCCCGTCCATCCCAGCTGGTCTGGTCTCCAACGTCTCATGATTCGTCTATCGCCCAATCATATAAGTTTCATCATCGACTGCTACGAATAATGTAACATTTGAGGTGGATTGACCAAACTAAACCTTCAAAATATGAGATTGAAAGAATGAACTGCGAATTTAAGGTGCAAATTCAGAACGAAAGGATGGCAGAGGGAGATTTCCATAGGAGGTGGAGTAAAAAAAGTGAAATAAAACAAAAAGGAGAAATCTGATTGTTTGAGAAAGGAGGAATCACAGACAGTGAAGAAAGTAAAGAAAGTCCAATGGCGATGAAGCAGTGTGAGAGACGACGAGGAAGCACGGTTGTGCATCTTTTTTCAATTTTCTTTTTACTTTTTAACCTGTTTAATAGGTTTCAGGTAACATGGATCAATATAGGAAGACCACTCGTATATTTGAGATTATTTCAGAATTACATATATGTAAGATTAATATTAGAAGACATCTAATAGTTCAGATCATTAATGTGAATTTTTCCAAGGTATTACTACGTACTACTACAAGTATTTTATAGGAGTACAAGTATACCTACACGATAATAGAGGCAATAAATAAACAAGGAAAAGAAACACTCGTACTACGGTCTACGTATTCCTGAGATAAGACTTTCGCGCATGGTGTGACTCATAGCCGCCTAGACTTCGCCCACAAACTCCGACCCGTTAAACCAAACGACATCCCGCGGCCCGGCGATGATTTCCATTCACCGAAACTTTTCTCTCTCTCGTTTCCCTTCTCCTTCTTGAACTCTATTTCTCCTTCCTATTATTATGGCTTAGAAATATCTCCTCAGTTTGTTACAAACCCTAGTTGCGCCATCTTCGTTCTTCCTTTATCACAGCCCTACCCTCGCAAGCGTATGAAGTTTGACTGAATTGACGTAATCGGTGGGGTTGTCGTGGTTATTCCGTCTAGATCTTGCAGATCTGCCCTCGATTTTGGTAAGCTTTTCGATCGAACATCAGAATCCTTTATACGATCAATTTACACAAAGAAATATTGTTGTTGCCTTTCTCTGTTCGCGTATTCATATATTATATTATGGGGTTTTATGATTTCTTCGATAGATTTGGGGGTTTTAGTGTTCGGATGTCTCGAATAAATTTGACAGTGTTCCAGATTGATCAAGGCACCATAACACGACTGGTTGGATCTAGGTTGACTGGGTGGGGTCGATAGTTTGGTAGGTCAGTTTGAGCTATTGACTTAACATTATTACTGTTAAATTGATTTAATGAGATCGTTATATGTCTATGTTGTTCAGATTATTATGGCGCAGACGCTTTTGTTAGATCATGTGTGTAGATTTGAGGGATACCACTTGCAACCTTGAGATTGTTAATTGGGTTGTTATTTTTTTTATATAATAACTGCATGCATTGTGAAATGATGTGTACTCTAGCGGTTTTGCGTAAGCCTGTTTATGGTGGTAGGTACAGTTGGGGTTGAAAACTTCATATAAAGCAACTTGAACTAGCTCAAGGCCTTTACATATAAGAAACAATTAACACTTTCTTTTGTTTTGTCTGCATTAGTGTTGCATCAATTCTAGGGATATGCTCAAAATTGATATGCTTGTAGAGTTGTAATGTTTTGTTAAGGTTGGAAGGAGGGTTGTGGGGATGGTGCCCAGTTCTTAATATTATTTGTTAATTTACAACATTTTGAAACGAAAGCTTTGGGGCATTGTTATTATCTTATCATTCAGGATTCTAATTGTATAGACGGGTTTATGCATTGGCCTGTTCGCTACCCCTTCAAAGCTAAATGAGATATATTCCTGCAGATCAAGGGTATTGTGCCCCCCTGCTTTCTGAGCTTGTAAACATTGCTTCTTTTGATGGATAATGACCATTCCGATGGATAATAGTGTTGAGCATTCATCTAGTGAGCGGGCTCAACGCCTCTTTAACAAGGTGTGCTTTCTTTCATATTACAGTTGTGTTACTAGACCAGGCATTTTATTTAGCATGCAAATTGTGGAATAAAGTATTTGGTATTACTTTTTGTTCTTTAACAGAATGTTGAGTTGGAGAATAAGCGCAGGAAAGCAGCACAAGCCAGAATCCCATCTGACCCTAATACTTGGCAACAAATGCGTGAAAACTATGAAGCTATTATACTTGAGAACCATGCATTTTCTGAGCAACACGAAATTGAGTATGCATTGTGGCAGTTACATCACAGGAGAATCGATGAGTTGCGTGCACACTTGAATGCTGCTTCATCTGCTTCAGGATCAACCACTTCTCAGAATGGTAAAGGTCCTACTAGAGGTGGACCTGATCGGGTCACAAAGATTCGCATGCAATTTAAGATGTTCCTATCAGAAGCAACAGGATTTTATCATGATTTGATGCTAAAAATCAGGGCGAAATATGGTCTTCCTCTAGGATATTTCTCAGATGATACAGAAACTCATGTTCCGTCATTCAAAGATGGAAATAAATCTGCTGACATGAAGAAAAGCTTAATATCGTGCCATCGATGTCTCATTTACCTGGGTGATCTAGCTCGTTACAAAGGTTTATATGGGGAAGGTGATTCTAAAGCTCGGGACTTCTCAGCAGCATCAAGCTATTACATGCAAGCTTCTTCTCTTTGGCCTGCAAGTGGCAATCCCCACCATCAGGTTCTCTATTCTGTCTTTCTATTTTGACTGTAAAATGTGCTGGTCTAATGATCTCTAGTAGTTTTCAGTGATCGAATCAATTTAACCCAAAATTTAAAAAATTATCTATTACAATTTTTATGTCTTCAATCTCGATGAAAAGAACTGGCTCAACTTAGCACTGTACCATTATATTGTATGGTAATACAGTAATCACAAGAGTATCCTAAACCAATTAATAGATGGCTTCTTTTTTAGCCTCACCATCTATTAGCTATTACTGAGCGTTTTTTTGTCTCATAACTTGAGAATAAAATGCAACATTCTTCATCCTAATGTAAATCAATGTTTGATTGCTTAGCAGAATGTATTCACTAGGGTATTTTCCTTTTGTGGTTCCCAGTGACTTATCAATTGTCTACTTTCTCAGCTTGCCATTTTGGCTTTTTACTCGGGTGATGAATTGGTAGCAACCTATCGATATTTTCGAAGTCTTTCTGTGGAGAACCCCTTTACCACTGCAAGGGACAATTTGATTATTGCATTTGAGAAGGTAAACTAGTAAACTGCTCTTCTGGGCTTATAACTTTTTACATGAACATCACATGTTTATAAATTCCCCCCTCTTAAGTTCTGGTGATGTTATCATACAAATAGAAATGCTAGAGCTGCAAATCATGCGGCACATCAGTGCAAAATTAAATGTGATTCATAATTTCGCAGAATCGTCAGAACTATTCCCAGCTTTTGGGAGATGCTAAATCCTCTGTCAAGGCTGCACCTGCACGAGTGGCTGGAAAAGGAAGAGGTAAGGTTGATACAAGACTTTCACAAAAAGAAGAAAGGCCTGAGACCCATGCACTGAAAGATAAAGCATCAAGCGTTTCTGACGTATTCAAAGTTTTCAGCACAAGATTTGTCCGATTAAATGGGATTCTCTTTACACGAACAAGGTATCTTTATTGTCTCACTCTCAATGATTCTATTATATTTGACGCGGCCTTATATTTTGACATTTTTTTTTTATCTTTGAACAGCTTGGAGACATTTGGAGAAGTGCTCACTGTGGTTAGAAGTGATTTGGTTGAGCTTCTTTGTTCAGGACCAGATGAGAAATACAACTTTGGTTTGGATGCTGCGGAATGCAGGCTTACAGTGGTTAGGCTTGTTGCTATCCTCATATTCACCGTGTACAATGTGAATAGGGAAGCTGAAAACCAGTCATATGCTGAGATTCTTCAGCGCTCTGTTCTTCTACAGAATGCTTATACAGCTGTTTTCAAGTTCATGGGTCATGTGGTTGAGAGATGTGGTCAGTTGAAAGACCCATCATCAAGCTATCTACTGCCAGGTGTTATGATTTTTGTTGAATGGTTAGCCTGCCATGAAGATATTGCAGTAGGCAATGAGCTCGGAGAAACACAAGCAAAAGCTAGATCTTTTTTCTGGAACAATTGTATCAACTTTTTAAACAAATTATTATCTAGCGGGGAAAAGTTCATTGATGAAGAAGATGAGGATGATACATGTTTCTTTAATATGAGCAAGTATGATGAAACCGAGACTGGTAATCGTCTTGCATTGCCCGAA